AATATCTAGATACCGATATTTTAATCAAAAATCTATCTAGATACAGACACAGATACCACATTTTTATATCTAGATATAGGATCTAGATACACAACTCTGATAAGATCAAACGCGTCTTTGTGTTCCCAAAAAAATATATAAATAACAAAATAATATTTATTTAAATGTATACAAAAAAAAACCAAAATAGGATTTCCTAGTTTAAAATCTGTTTAGCTTTTGGCTAAACAGAAATAAGTTTCATAAATAAGACGAACCAAAACACTGGCTTAACGCCTTTGAATATTAATGTAGCTTCTTAGTCGTAATTTACTTAGCTGATTCCGCAGCAAAATAAGTAAGAAGAAATAGAAAGAGAAATAACGCTTTTTTTTATTATTAATATCGGTTTTATTATGGTTATTATTAAAAAAATATTACCTTTAAACACTTTATATCTTCTTCCTAATCTGTTTAGAAATTTATCATAATTTTGCAAATAAAATTTCTTTTTTACAAAAAAATATGGGTATTATTTTAACTATCGGTCATTGATGTACATAAAAATTAATCGACTAGGGTAATTCAAAGTATCGGTACATCTCTAATATATATTTATTATATAAAATTTTACAAAATGATGATGGCTGGTAAAAATTAAATTAAAAATTTTTACATAAAGTTTTGTCTAAAACTTATTTCTAAACTTTAAAGAAGTCTAACGTTTAAAGTTATTAAAATTTAAAAGAAATATATTAACCACATTATTTTCCATTTCCATTCACGTGTTTTTCAATAAAGTTTTAAAGGTTTTTGAATTGATTTTTTTTAAAAAGTGGTTTGGACCCAAATATATAATATGATAAATTTGATAAAATGATATGAATTTTTGAATCTTAAATTTTTTATTTGGGTTTAATAAATTTCCCAGGGTTCGGATTTTAGAATTTTAATAAAAGGTAGTGAATAATAATTTGTCATTATTAATTTTTAGTAAAAAAAGAAAAATTCCCAATAAACATGGAAATAAATAAATAAATATTTTTAAAATTATATAATTACATTTCAAAGTTAAATTAAAACTTTTATTCATTTTTCATATTTAATATTTGTTTTAAGTAGCAAATGAGCGCGCTACTTCCACCACTATTTTTCAAAAAAGAAAATAGCGCGCTAAGCTCTTTTTTCAAAAAAATGGGCCTTGCAAATCTGGTTTGTATATGTCAATATATATAAATAAAATGGCAATTATTTTTGTTCGTAATATAAATATAGTACAAAACTTTGAGACATGATTGTTAGGTATATTAAATTATCTGGTAATACCTCAGATAAATGTATTGGTAACTAACAACGCGTTATTTAAAATTATTTACAGTTTTATTTTTGACGCCATTTTTTTTGAATACCGACAAATTACCTACAATGAAATATATCATAAAGTTGTTTGATTTTTAAAATTATTATTCATTAATGTTTTATGTAATCATTTCCCCTCTCCTTGTTCTCTTTTTTACTTGTTTCAATAGGACAATGATTTTTTTTTCATTAGCTCTCCTTAATGGATGAATAAGTTATTTTAAAAATTTGGGAAAAAAAAATATTTGAAGTTGTAATAGAAAAATTTGTTCATATAATATAGGGGCGGATTCTTGGTTTATTTGTAATTTTATTTTATAACTAATGCATTGACATATATAATACCTAGACTGACGATTCACATTCATTAAAATGCATTTTTAAGCATCGTTAAAAGCAAATCAGCTGGACCCGCCATTTTGGTAACACATATAGTAATTATTCTCATGTTAAAAACTACTGTTAAATTGATAACTTGCTTCCCTATTATCTCGATGATCTGGTAATTCTTTAATAAAGTTTGCATCAAGGAATAAATTAGGTTCTCGTTTAAAATTTTAATAATGATTAGTATAACCAAGATGGCGTCTCCAGCTGATTAGCATTGATGTACACCTTTAATGAATGAATGAATCGTCAGTCTAGGTATTATATATGTCATTGAATTAATGATAAAAACATTTCTTCCACATATTGTAAGTTTGGAAAACTTGAGTTTTATTACGACCTGCAATATTAGATAAAGCAAGTAATGTCCATAGACTTATAATATACATGGATTATTAAAGGTTATATTAAGGCAAAAAAAGTTGACCAATTAGAAGTAGTGTTGTTAAACGGCTCGATTTTTAGAAACGACTAACCCAATATTTTAGCCAATATTATGCAAGCCTGGAGATTTTGCTCAAGGATAGCTGAAAGGTTTATACATCTATAAACGAAATCTCAAGATTTGCGTAATATTATTTTGGATAAATTTACAATTGGCGATATCAGCTCTAACAACACTAATTAAACCCTATAATAGTTTGCCCTATTTATTAATAGTAACATTTCGTAGAGGTCTGCCAGGCTCATTAGGTCTGTAAAAAATTTTTGCGCAAGTTGCCCCGCCCCAAATTTACGAAAAGTTTTGCGGCTCGTTAAAATTTACTAAAAGTCCGTCACGACTGCTATCTTTTAGTAAGTATATTATATATAGATTTTATATTTTAGTTTAAAATACAAAAAAATTAACATATTATGATTTCTTTTCAAATAGAAAACAAAAATATTATCTTAAAATTCAAAAAAAATATATCAAATTTTTAATACTCGGGCTGTATTAAAATTTTAAGAAAAATCAGAGATTTGTAATTTCTGCCTGATTTTTTATATGTAAGTTGTTAAGCGCCTGACATTTTTTATGTACATCTTGTCCGGCCCCACCCGTTATCATTTTTTGCCCCAATCCATTAAAATTTTAAAAAAAAATTTCCTCGGGCAGGCCTCTAATTCTTTAGAGCTATCTGTCTATTTGTATTAACTTTGAAAATAATAATGATTGAAAATGAAAGTTATCATTTTAATTTTTTTTAAATTATGAAACATCAACGTTTAATATAATATATATTTTATAAAAAACATGTTTTACCCATTTATAACTTAAGCTACTATTACTACTGTACTGCACTTTATTTTTAGCTTACATTAATTTTCGAATTTAAAAATAATTATTAATCTCTTACAAATAATTAAAATCTTTATTAATATAAATCACAGACCTAGAGAGGTACCAATTGCACGGCCCGAATTTGTAAAGAAAAGATTTTTTAAACTCGGCCCGGATTTTTTTTAAAAATTTTTTTAGCCCAGCCCGGATTTTTTTTTAAAATTAAATTTTCCACCCATCCCGGGTAATTTTTTTATTAAAATGGTTTTGAAATGATATAGGAAATATGAGAAGTGAATGAATGTGATATATTATTCAATTAAAGAACAATTTTTGAATATATTTTATTTTATTTCATCTATTTATTATATATATATAATCGCCTTTTGGCCCTACCCGTGTTTAAAAAAATTTACGCTCGGATATTCTATATGATATTAATTTATGTAAAAATTTAATTTTATAAAGAAAATATATAAGAATTTCGCCCATGTTAATTTATCATCTTATTTTTTAAAATTAACTATCGCTTGCTTATAAAATGGGTAGAGGGAGGTAAGACCTTAAATATCCAAATTCGCGCATCATTATAAATTTATCTAAGGAAATTAGAAAGATAGCAAACCAATTAGCCTGTTGTACCAGTAAAGATACATTACATAAATAAATATAAAAATGCCAGGGTTTTTGAGCTTACTCAAAATAGAGAACATCTAAAGATAACTAATTCGAAAAGGATAGAATTCTAGAAAAATTGGTCTTAAAAAATGGCATTCCTCTTCGTCAAAAATATAATTTAATGAGATTTCTGCAATTGAGAATCAACTTTCCATGTCAACTTACAACGAAGAAAATATTAAATTGGATATTCCTTCGATAAGAAAAATGAATACTTGAAATTTTGCTTATATCTTAACCATTTTTAACAACATTCCAAAAGAAGAAAAAATTAAATTGGGCTTTAAAATATGTAAATTAAATAAAATAGTAATGCAGAAATTCTGATTACTTAAAAACCTATAAGTTTCCAGATAGTATCATGATAAGAGGTTGGAAGCAAAAGGCCTAGTATGTATTATCTTTATAGTGTTAAATATTGAGATATCCTCAACAAAATACTTGTCCCATCATTTAGTTATTAAGAAAATTACATCTTCCAGCATGATGGAGCTCATTTTCATACCCTTAAATCTACATAAATCTTAGGATCCCAATATTAATATACTATTCTCTAGATCTAAATCCTATTGAAAACATGTTGTTCAAAACGAAGCATAGAAAACAGCTATGTAGAACAAAGGATTTTGAAGAAAGAGTCTATATTAAAGTCGAATCTCAGAATATATGCCAGAATCTTATTAATTTAATCAAAGTATAACCGCAGTTATAAAGGCGGACAAGACATAGCACAATTTTAATATAGCTTGGCCAAAATAATGATATTTTAGCAGTAGAGTGATAATTTTGAATAGAGTTACATATTTTAAATTATATATATTTTAATAATTTATATTATATTACATTTTGTCAATTACATATTGCGTTTTGTAATAATATAGGTTTTTAAAAAAATTTGAATGCTTATGATATTTTTTTAATAAAAATTTGATAAGCTAAACAAATATATATGAAGTGGGGTATTATATAAAAAATTTGTAATTTAATTTAAAAATATAGTATGATATTGTTAAATTTGAGATGATTACTATAAATTTTAGACGATATTTAAATGATAATTATTTTTGTAGTTTTAATTATGTGTAACCGATTGTTTAAAAGTTTATTTTAAATACAGGGAAACTTCTGGAGGTGGTCATCTATTCATGATGACCGCTTTTCCATCCAAAATTTTATTTGGAATTTTTCTCACACCAAACATAACCTGCACTGGGTCGTCCCTTAAAAATAAAAAAATCTTATTAAAAAGTGTATTAGAATTAATCATGTATAATTAATATTTAATAAAAGTCTAAATTTTATATTTAATTGGAAAATAAAAATCCAATCCAAGGCCACCGAGGAAATATCCAAAACATTGGCTTCCATGAAAAACATGCTTTATGGATCGGGTGATCAAGAGCCTCACGCCGAAACGGTAGCTCAACTAGCCCAAGAGATCTACAACTCCAACCTCATTTATTTACTCATCAAAAACTTATCCAAAATCGATTTTGAAGTTTATAAATTATTATCTTATTCATGTCTAATTTATGCATCTTTCTTTTTATTTAGAAAAGTTGCATTATTCTGATTTGATGTATCTTCTTCTATTTTATTGTTTATTGGCGATTTTTCGGGTTTACTCCGGTGGGCCAGTTTCCCTTCTGGACCATTTTCTTTACGTTCTTGGTGTCGCTATTTATAAGATCCATTGTGTATAGTTACTTTAAAAAGTTTTAAATATCACATTTTTTTAATATTAAAAAAATTTCACTTGAAAATAAACTGTGTCTCTTACCGATTAGATCCCACTTAAAATAAAGTCCTAGCTCCGAGAAAATAATAAAATTTTGAAAAATCTCGTAGGAAAAGAAGGAAAATGATTAGCACTTCAGGATAAGGCATTTCATTTTTTACAAAAAAGAAAGATTTTTTTACTTGGATTCGACTTGAGGGAATATTTATCCAAATTTGACCTGCAGAAATTTTTTTAAAAATCATTAAGGGTTTTCCAAATTTTTTTCTCAATCTTATATATTTCTTTTATTATATTTTGTTTTGAATTTGGGTTTTGTTTTGTTAATTATATTTTTAAATGTTTGCCCCCTGCGTCAATTATTATTATTAATATGATTTGTTAGTTTATATTAACATAATATTTTTTTTTGATATAATTCCTTTTATTATAATTTCAAGAGTAAAAAAGACGTAACTCAAATTGTCAACAATCTACTGAGGAGGCAAATAGGTATGCGATATCCTACTGTTGATCAAATTTACATCAAAAAGGAAATATTATTCACCCTTTTAAAAGGGTAAATAAAATTTATTGAAAATGTTTTATTTGGGCTGTATCCAAAATCTTATATCAAAAAAGAAGAAATAAGCTTTTTTAAATATAAAAATAAAAACACTTCCAAAATAATTCTAGAATATTTTAAAAATTTAACATTTGATTTCATTAATTTCGTGGCAATTTTTTTTCCACTTGAATTATCCATATTTCAAATGCCTCAAAACACGGTTTATAAAAAGATTCTATGAACAGTAAATTTGGTTTTATACCATATATATAACGCTTTACCAACAACGAAATTCAAAACGCGAAAAGTAGGAAATTTGATAAGTAGAAAATATTCCAAATCAAAAGATTAAAATCAGGATGATAACTGGTATAGAAAATATAACTATATAAGAAAAGATATTTTAAAAAAAATAAAAGCTGCAATTGGCAATGCTTGGATATAATATTTTATTTACGTCATTAATTTCATAGTTAACCTTAATTGGTATAACTTCTATACAATTTCTTTCTTTCTTTCATAGTCTTATAAAATATAATGTTATTAAGGTTACAAAATTTTTATTTTTTTCCAATTATATACAAGCTATAAAACATTTAAAATACTCATATTAAATAATTTAATCTAATAAGCATAATGAATATTTTTGTTGTAATTTTTTTTTAAAATTATATTTTGACCTTTGGCAATTTTACGTTGTGGAATTATTTTAACCCTTTAGCTCGCTCCTTTCTAAGATCCTATTAAAAATGTTTACCAACAATGTATTTATATATGGGATAATCTCTTAATGTTAAGCAAAATACCTTATAGAATTTTAAACTTATAAATAATTATTATTATATTATAATTGGATAGTTTTTTTTCCATTACGAAAAAAATATAAAGAGTTTATATAAATTACTTTTCAAGTTTGGGAATTGTAAAATAAAAATTGGTGACCATAACATAATGGCGTTGTTGCTATTTGTGTTCTGTGTGTTAGTCATCTGCATCGGGCTTAATTTTTCAAGCCAGACCCTATTCCGATTTTTATTTGTCTCTAAAAGTCCGACCCGAAATAAAAATAGAAATTAGTCGGCCTTGCTAGAATTTATTTAAATAATATAAATTAGTTTTTTTACTGTTATCTTATATATTTTTTTTTATTTTAAATTTATAGAATAATCAGATATATTTTATCAATTAAATAATTATAAAAGATTTATAAAAAAAATTAGATATAATTTTTATACCCAAAACAAAATAAAAGATATTGGCGCCTAGTTTTTCGCGAATAAAAAATATTGGAATATTGTTTCTTGTAAAAATTTAAAACACAAATTTGAATCATTAACAAAATTAATGCCTTGCCTGAATTTTTTTTAAATATTAGGGCCGACCCAGCCAGAACCAAATTTTAAAAAATAGACCAGGTGCCTTTGCAGATCTCAACTGTGTGTACACGGTAGGTCAATAATTTCGAAATTAAGTTTTATTAATAAAATATACACCTTGCGGTTTAGCCGTTACGATTGTTAAACCTCACTGGGCCTATAAAATTTATCATAATTAACTAATTCAAAAATCACATTTATGGATCGTTTTAAAATTTATTTACAACATCCCATTGAAGCCATTTACATACTATTAAATTATTTCGATTTGATCATATTTAAAACTTTAACCCAGAAAATACGTACATTTGCAGATCTTTTATGATTATATAAAATAAAATTTGGGTTAAAAATTATGGCGATCATTTTCAATTTAAGAACGTTTGTTTTACGCAATTTTTTTTTTTGACAAAATAGTAATTTGTTTTGGTTTTTTAAATTAAATATTACTAATTTGGTTATATTTATTTGGGATTGTCGATTTAAATATTATAACCATAATTATACTATATTTTACTATGCATTTTAAGATTGGTCTTTTTTTTGAGTTGGGTTTATTTATTTAATAATTTTTGCTAATATTATTATCTTTCCATTAGTTGGTGTTGGTGCTCATATTAGACTATAATATAAATTCAAACATTTTTTGACTTTATAATGAAGTGAAATCGAAATTTATTCTAACAATGTTCCAAATATCATTTTAATCTTATTTCTATATTTAAAAAAACTAATTTATATTCAAGATTTGATTGTAATATAATAATAATTTTATATACTCATTAACATCTTTGCAAAGGCGGTTTGGTTGGTCAGCATTTAGATAGGTGGTATAGAACACATTTATAAGCATTTTTAACAAGATTTTGACAGGGAAGAACATACCTAATAAGTTAAATAAGGTGGTCGGACACGGTAATAATAAAATCATTAATTTAAATTACAAAAAAACAATTTTAATTCAAATTTTTTTAAAATATTTATTTTGAGTTGAGTGACTTATAGTTAATTAAATAAAATCAATATTAAAACCAATAGGAATTATCATTTTATTTGAAAGTCCATAACTATAGCTCGCATTTTTAGATTTCATTATTTTTAAAATTGAATAAAAACATGCATAAATTACCAAAGTACAAAGTAATAAAAAGCGATTCTGAACCCGGCGAAATTTATGCTTGGTTCATTTCAGGTTCGGAATTGTTTAAAAAAATGAGGTCTAACTTTTTTAAAATAGATATCAGTCCAAGCAGGCCTATCCCAGGCTGGGTTCGGACCAGGTCATGCATAAATGAAAATTATTAGTAAATTATCCAAACTATTGATCGGATAAGTTTATTTTGTAAAAATGAAATGTAAAAAAAAAGCTTTTCATTGCTCTTTTTTTCTAAAACTTTTACTGGTAAAAAATGTATGAGAAATTAAGCAGAGGACAGATGTTGGATCGAATCAAACGATGAGTATGTCACTTTTCGATGGTACATCTTCACTAAATTTTTATTTAAACATGTTATCAATACTTATTTTAATCTATTTTCGTCAAAAATATTTAAAAAACTTTAAAAATAACGATTATGACAATTGTCACTTTTCTATGGTACATCTTCACTAAATTTTATTTAAACATGTTATCAATACTTATTTTAATCTATTTTCGTCAAAAAAAATCCAAAAACTTTAAAATTAACGATTATGACAATTCTCACATTAAAAAATATTATCCTTAAAAAGATCATATAAAATAATATCAAAAAGTTTAATATAAATATTTTTAAAAAATTATTTTAAAAAAACACCTTGTAACATCAATTCTTAATGAATTTACTATTCCTTTTGATTTTTCAAATTATTATAATAAAATGCATCAATTTTTGGAGATTGGTTATCGAGGACAACCAATGAATTAAGGTAAATTTATAAAAATATAATTTATATTGAAATATATTTTAAAGGAATTTAGAAAAAGGAGAATAATATATATATAAAGAAAAAACGAAAATTAAAATATCCATTTATCCATTTTTTTTAAATCTGTTTTGTTATATATTATATATTTGATTGTCATTTATTTTTTGAGGGTTGTGCAAAAATAAAAAAACATATTGTTATTTTAATTGATTGTTTTTTTTTAATAATTTACCCTATATAATAATTTGAAAAATCAAAAGGAATAGTAAATTCATTAAGAAGTGATGTTACATTATTAATTATTTCTTTTCGAGTATTGGTCGGGGATTGATCGACCTATATTTGTTTTTTAACACTCCAAAAAAATTTTCTATCGGGTTTAGTTGCGGCGAATAGGGTGGCAAATATTCTATTCGCGCTCTAAAACAATCAATGAGGTGGCTTTTATGGATGGATGCATTGTCCATAACAATAACTGCATCACTCGGTAGAATATTAATTAGTGCATTCATATAATCTCTAAATAAAAGGCTATTATAAGGTCCTTCAATGATGCGATAAAGTATCACACCATCGATTCCCATAGTGCATAATATACTTTTATTCTTACCCTTAGATGGCGGGACTTTAACACTTGGCGTAACATTAATATGGGGCCCAGGCATAAGTTAGTATACTTTCTTCTTGGAATAGCCGATGTTGGATCAGTAATAGAATCACCACTTACAGAGGAAGAATTGATCATATGGAAATTATTTGTAATATTAGGTATTGAATTTGAATTAGATAAAACAGGATCAGGATTTAATGTAAATGAATTTGTATTACTAGATAAAATTTGTCGTATATTAAACATTTGAAAAAAATATTAAACTCTATTTTATAAAAAAAATTAAGTTATATAAAAATTGTAAATGCAAAAAAATTACCGTATGTATTTTATAAAAAAAATAAAATTATATAAAAATTGTAAATGCAAAAAAATTACCGTATGTATTTTTTAAATCTGTTTTGTTATATATTATATATTTGATTGTCATTTATTTTTTGAGGGTTGTGCAAAAATAAAAAAAAATATTGTTATTTTATTGTTTGTTTTTTTTAAATAATTTACCCTATAAATCATATCATGTTTATTTGTTGATAATAATAAAATATTTACATTAAATATAAATAAAATAAATTGTTTTACTAAAATAAATAAATAATAATTAATGCTAGGCATCGATGCAGAATTTTTGGCTAATTTATTATAGCCAATTTTTAGGCTTAGCCGATTTTTAGGCTTAGCCTTATTAGGCTTAGGCGTAGTTTATAGCCGATTACGCAACACTATATGTTATACTAATAAAAAGTATATTAAAAATTAAAACCATTGGTATCTTTATATGATATCGGATCGGTAATCGGCAGTTATCAATTTAATATCGGATCGGTCTCCAAAATATGGCGTATCAGGTCAATTCAGCGAAACCTTTATCGCGAAACTTTTATCGCGAATGTCGTTTATCGCGAAAAGTTTTTATAGCGAAGGTAAAATCGCGAAACCAATTCTGCGAATTTATCTTCGCGAAACATTTATAGCGAAGACAATTTCGCGAAGCCATTGTCGCGAATTTATTTCCGCGAAACCTTAACAGCGAATTTATTAGAGCGAATACATTTTAGCGAAACATTTTATGCGAACACTTTACAGCGAATTTTTTATCGCGAATATGTTTGCGCGAAGTCATTATCGCTAGGGCCTTACCGCGAAACAATAAATATATTACGAATGCATTTATTTAAAGGAAAACAACATATTATTTATTATTTGATGTTTTTTAATAAAAAATGATATGCTACTATTGTAATATTATTTTTGTTACAATTTATTAGTGATTTTCACGCCCAAGATTTTAAGTAAAAAAAATATTTCTTGAAGTTCAAAAAAATATTTGAACATATTATGATAAAAATTTTATATCTTCTTTGTAAATATATCTTTTTTAAGGAATTCTTTTGTGAAATTTATTATAATTTTTAAGGTGAAATCTTTTATAGTTTTTTTTATCATTTTTGTAAAAGCATCTATTTCTTAAGTATATTAAAAGAGGTAGCTAAATAACTTTTTTTAAAATATTTATATTTAACTTATTTATGTTATTTTATGATCTTTTTAAGGATAATATTTTAATGTGACAATTGTCATATTCGTTATTTATAAGATTTTTGAAATTTTTTGACACAAAAGGGTAAAAATATCATTTAGATTGTAAACATGCTAAATTAAAATTTCATGAAGATCTACCATTGAAAAGTGACAGTCATAGTCATTATTTTTAAACTTTTTTTGACGTAAATGGGCCAAAATAAGTATTGATAACATTTTAAATAAAACTTCAGTGAAGATGTACCCTAGATAAGTGACAATTGTCAAAATCGTTATTTTTAAAGTTTTTTGTATTTTTTTAACGCAAATAGGTAAAAATAAAGCTTGTAAACATGTTAAATTAGAATTTCATGAAGATGTACCATAAAAAAAGTGACAAGTGTCATAATCGATATTTTATAACTTTTTTAATTTTTTTTGACGTAAATGGGCTAAAATAAGTATTGCGCACATGTTAAAATAAAATTTTAGTGAAAATGTACCTTAGATAAGTGACAATTGTCATAATCGTTATTTTTAAAGTTTTTTGAATTTTTTTGACGCAAATGGCTAAAAATAAAGATTGTAAACATGTTAAATTAAAATTTCATGAGGATGTACCATAGAAAAGTAACAATTGTCATAATTGTTATTTTATAACTTTTTGAATTTTTTTGACGTAAATGGGCTAAAATAAGTATTGCAAACATGTTTAAATAAAATTTCAGAGAAGATGTACCCTATATAAGTGACAATTGTCTTAATCGTTATTTTTAAACCTCTTTGGAATTTTTTTGACGCCAATGGGTAAAAATATAGATTGTAAACATGTTGAATTAAAATTTCATGAGGATGCACCATAGAAAGGTGACAATTGTCATAATCGTTATTTTTAAAATTATTTGAATTTTTTAGACGCAAATGAGCAAAAATATAAATTACTTACATGTTAAAATAAAATTTCAGTGAAGATGTACCATAGATAAGTATCAATTGTCATAATCGTTGTTAATAAGGTTTTTTTGAATATTTTTGTTGCAAATGGGTTAAAATATAGATTGTAAACATGCTAAATTAAAACTTCATGAAGATATACCATTGAAAAGTTACAATTTTATAATTGTTATTTTTAAAGTTCCTTGATGTAAATGGTTAAAATATAGTGTAATTCATTTTAACCAAAATAAAATCTTAACATTAAATTTATAGGATGTTAATTGTATCATATTACTAAATAATATTCATATGGTTTTTAAGTTCTTTCTATAAAAATCCTACCCTGAATTCAGACTCAGCACTATTTTGCCACTAGTATACAAAAATATTTGCTTACTGTGAATGCAAGGTTATACATTTTTATAATGTATCATTAAAATTTATTAATTAAAGGACTAAGATTGTGAATCCATATCTTAAAAGTTTACAATTTAACATAGGTTACAGCTATCTTTAATAATCACTTTTCATATTTTTATCAAATTTTAAACAGGATAAAAGGAACAACGATTATGAGAATGAAAATATCGATTTGTTTTATTGTTTGGACTGAAATTTTATTTTAACATGTTAATTTATATTTTTTTCCAATTGCGCCAAACAAACTTTAAAAATAAATGACTATTGTCATTTATCTAGGGTACATCTTCACTGAAATATTATTTTAACATGTTAGCAATTTATATTTTAGCCCAATTGCTTCAAAAAAATTTAAAAACTTTTAAAAATAACGATTATGACAATTGTCACTTTTATATGGTACATTTTCTTGAAATTTTAATTTGACATTTTTACAATCTATATTTTTACCCTTTTATATCTAAAAATTTTAAAAAACTTCAAAAACAACGATTATGACAATTGTCACTTATCTATGGTATATCTTCACTGATATTTTATTTTAACATGTTAGCATTTTCTATTTTTGCCCATTTGTTTCAGAAAAATTTAAAAAACTTTAAAAATAACGACTATGACAATTGTCACTTATCTAGGGTACATCTTCACTGAAGTTTTATTTAAACATGTTAGCAATTTTTTTTGCCCATTTGCGTCAAAAAAATTCAAAAAACTTTAAAAATGATTATGACAATTGTCACTTATCTTGGATACATCTTTACTGACGTTTTATTTAAACATGTTATCAATACTTATTTTGGCCCATATACGTCAAAAAAGTTTAAAAATAACGACTATTACAATTGTCACTTTTCTGTGGTACATCTTTATGAAATTTTAATTTAACAAGTTTACAACTATATTTTTACCCATTTGCAAAAAATTCAAAATAAATTGTCACTTATCTAGTGTACATCTTCACTGAAGTTTTATTAATACATGTTAACCGATTTACGCCAAAAAAATTTAAAATACTTTAAAAATAACGATTATGATAATTGTCACTTTATATGGTGCATCTTAATTTAAATTTTAATTTAACATGTTAAAAATACATATTTTACCGTAAAAGAAATCTAATATGTTTAAAAATACCGATAATGATAATTGTCATTTTTCCAAGGAACATCTTCAATAACGAATATAAAAATTGTCAGATTAAATTATTATCCTTAAAAAGATCATATATATAAATAAGTTAAATAAAAATATTTTTAAAAAATATTATTTAGAAAACCCACCTCTTTTAATATACTTAAAAAATAGATAATTTTACAAAAATGATAAAAAAACTATAAAAGATTTCACCTAAAAGATTGTTTATTTATTATAAAGTTCACAAAAGAATTCTTCAAAAAATATTAAAATTTTTATCAAAATATGATTAAAAATCTTTTTGAACTTCATAAAATATTTTTTGCTTAAAATTTTTGTCGTGTGAAAATCACTAATAAATTGTAACAAAAATAATATTACAAAAGTAGCATATCATTTTTTTTATTAAAAAAATATCAAATAAAAAGAAATCCATTTTTCATATCATAATTAATATAAATAAAAAATATATATCATATAATATGTTTATTTGTTGATAAATAAAATATTAACATTAAATATAAATAAAATAATAGGCCGCTTTATATTTCGCGAAATAGTATTCGCTATATTGTCTTCGCGATTTATGTTTCGCGATATTAACTTCGCTAAAATTTTTGCGATTATTGATTCGCAATAAAAATTTCGCTCTAATGTATTCGCTTTAAAGGTTTCGCGATAAGAGTTTCGCTATAAAAAATTCGCGATATTTGTTTCGCTATATTGTTTTCACGGAAAAGTATTCGCTAATGTGGTATCGCGATAAAAGTTTCGCTATAAAATTCATTCGCGATAAACGACATTCGCGATAAAAGTTTTGCGAAAAAGTGTTTCGCGATAAAAGTTTCGCTGAATTGACATGGAACCAAAATATGGTGGTACACCCCTAGTTTTTACATATAAAAAAAGTGATTAATTATAGGTATAATAAATATTATTTTTCTTATATTTATTATGAATGCCTCGAATACTAAAGTTCAGATTTATTTTTATATAATTTACTAAAATATAAAAAGCAAAATAATTTGAATATATGATAAAATATTATGTAATCTACGTTTCTCTGTAAAATATTTCCCCATAAATCTGTATTTTAAAATACGGTCTGTTATGGCCCGTTTTTATTGTTAACCAATGATCCAAATGCAGACACAAAATTAAATTTATAATTTATTTTTACATCATTTATTTTTTCCAAAGTTACGAAAGTCAAGATATAGCCTTAAATTGTGGCATGATGTTGCGTGAATGTCTGAGACACGAGCCTCTAACTCAATTGATAATTATATCCCCAGATTTTTATAATTTTTTTGCTTACGTAGAAGTACCTACTTTCGATATAGCTTCAGACGCCTTCGCCACTTTCAAAGTTGGTTATATAATGCAATACCTTGTTTTATATTGTGTATAATAAAGTTAAAGTAAAATAGAATGATCGAAAATAAACCATTACTTTTTTGTATTTTAGAATGAGTTATCTAAAAACAGGAAATCGAACTATTATATATATATAGAGGATGTCTTTCTTAGGTATAGTTGGGTAATTGCTAAATGTGGGCTAATTCGGCCCAATCTTTAGGTCCTTACCGGAGAAAATCCGTTAACATTAAGGCGTTTAAATTTATATTCGTTTCTTCCAAATTTGAGCTGCTATATTTTTAAGAAAAATCCCGAAGCCAAAATCACAGTTTTCGGCTGAAAACTTGGTTTACCCATTGGCTTAAACACCTAAAAATATATTAATTACCCAATTATACTCTTAGGATACTAAAAATTAAAGAGTAAGGCTTGGTTACTATTTATTAACCTCAATAATAACAGTTAGTTTTATTATACTTATAGTTGATTTCGAAAAATAAAATTTAAAAACAAAACTGCAATTTTTGTTTCGCAGGACTTATTAACCCGTCATAAATTTTTAGCAAGCGAATTTCTGGAAAACAATTACGACAAAGTATTCAGTCAATATCAAAATTTATTAACGTCCGAAAATTATGTTACTCGAAGACAATCCCTTAAGGTATATCATTCGTCTTGAATTTGTTTTTATACTTATTGAATTTTAATTGGGTTAGGGGTCAATTAAATTTAAGATAAATTTTTAAATTTAAATATCGGTTTGTAGAGTTTATATTTTAGATATAGATACACTATTACAAAATCTTAATCTTATATTTCCCTATTAATTAGCTGGATAAGTGGGTAAAGTAAAGAGGCATGATTAATGTTAATAAAATTACAATAACATCTCGGATATTTATTTAACTCTAGTCATCTTATAGGGTGTTGGATTAGTCTGTATAATTTTTATTATATTTTGATCCTGAGTTACCTTTCATTATATTGTTTTAAATACAAAGTATATAAGCATTTTATTGTATTAAATTTGGTTTTCTTATTTTGTTCCTTAGACTAAGGCCATATTAGAACGTGCATGTGTTTGAGAAATCTGTGATTTGGCATATGTTAACTAAATAAAATATTATTTTGAATTAAAATAAAAAATATTAATGTATATAGTAATTTTAATATTCATTCGATAAATAGAGAAAGAAATCTTAATTGAATGTTATTTTATTCTTGAGGTTAACTAAAAGCTATTTTTCATATCAATCTCAAATATTGGGCTGAAAGTTTCCTGTCCATTGATAGTAGATATTGGTTTTTATTTTTTATATTAGCATTATTATAACTTTTTTTCGCTATTTTAATTTTATCTTATAAAATAATGAAAATTTATCTAGCCAACTTTTTCCAACATTTCTAATTTTTTAAATTAGTTCAACTACATTTCTCTTCTTATTTTTTTATTAGAGGTTGTATTCAAATATGTACTTTCATCAATTTTCATTAAAATTCAGGGACTTTCCCTACAACCTACCAAATCAAAATTAGCAAAAAAGGAAATCCAAATAAAAACTACCCCCCCCCAACCCTTCCAATTTCAAAAGATGACAGCGTCTTTATAACTACATCCTCTCCCATTTCAATAATGATCTTGCCTTATGCCCCCACCCCCTCCCCAAAGTAGAAGTCCCTGCCTAATGGTGGAATTACCTATTAAATAATAATAAAGCGTTATTATAATATATAATGCAATATAAAGTAAAAAATTATAATTGGATATAGATTATCATAAAGCATTCAATTGCTAACATTTCTAAATCATGTTACTGTTTATGAGACATAGAAATATACCCTCTAACGCTATTTTAACAATGATACTGATTTATTTTACTCGCTTTGTTTATGATAATTTACTACATTCTTTTCTCTATTTTAATTTACATTCATTTATCTAGCTTTTAGGAGAATTAATTTTAGACCGGCATAATTTCAATGTTATGACACGTTACATTAGCAACCCGGAAAACTTGAAGTTAATGATGAACCTCCTCAAGGACAAAAGCCGCAACATTCAGTTCGAAGCCTTTCACGTTTTCAAGGTGTTTGTTGCAAATCCTAACAAAACTAGACCCGTCGCTGAGATATTGATCAGAAACAGAGATAGGCTTGTCGAGTTTCTCTCTAAGTTTCAAAATGATCGAACTGACGATGAACAGTTCAACGATGAAAAGGCTTATCTTGTCAAACAGATCAAGGAGCTTAAAGTTCCAAATCTTCCCCTTACCACAACCACCACGATAATGGGTCCGGGTTCTACTACGCTTAATGATTCTAGTAATTTTTTAGGAAAATCTAATTCCGAAAATCTCACCGATATTAATGTAGCTTCTAATAGTTCAAGCGTAAATGTTGGTAATAATTTCAATGCAAGTATTCTAAATACCGGTGGATCAGGGGTTAGGAATAATGGTAACTCGGAAGATAGAAAAGATGATTCTAGGGGCAAATAACAAACATAATTAAATTCGTTAATTACAAACACATAATAGAAAAAACAATCATTTTTTTTATCAAGCTAGGCTTCATTATAAATAAACGTCCTCACATAATTCTTTAAGGTGTGCTAAATTATTATTTTTTTTAAATATTAAACCTGTAAAAATGTATCTTTGTTTAGCGTCTCCTTTTGAAAATAATAATAATTGTTTATTATCAACAAACCTTTGTGATATTTACAAAAGAAACGAATGAATATGTCTAATTTTTGCAGCCGCTTGAAATGTTTTAAATCTTTAGTTTTTAAAAAAATGGTTTTTATTATTTTTTTGGAAATGATTTTATTACCACAGCAAAATAATCATTTGAAATAATATTAGCAAAAATCATCTTAACAATATTTATAGTTAAATACATTATGAAAGAAGTCAATTAATTTTATTTTATGATCCTCGTGCAGGTGAGGCCAATTAGCACCCACAAACATCTTTTATGGATTTCTTTTTATGATCTACCTTACTTTTTTTAAGATTAGTTATTTAAAAAATTAAGGTTGTAACAAAGTGGTTAGTTATTTTTTATTACAAAGATGTGTTACAAGGAAAAAAAATATGATATCTATCAATAGATCGCGATTATATTTCTCAGCATTTGTCAAACTTTTTATATACCATATATTATAATATTTTCATGAAGTATGTTATATTTATTTTTTTCTAAATAAAATAGTATTCTAGGCCGACTATTTATTTCTCGAAACCTGCATTTTACACACGTAGCAAGAAATCATTCGTGGGTTTGATATTTTTGCTCGATTAGTACATTTGGGTTTAACAAAAAAAATAAGAAGAAAATTCGTTATCCTGAAATTTTGTCGGTTGTTTATCCAGTAAAATATAATATGCATACAACAGTTCCTTTTTTTAATAGTTCACAGCTGGAAAAATTACGTTGCCAGGACAATGACAATATTGATCTTGAGTATCATCCCGAACAGGCCATGATCGGAAAAATTATTTATATATTGGGTAGGACTTTTCGAAACAAATTAAAAAAACTCATTCAGGATACGACCTATTTTTAAAAAAAAATGGGCCGAGCTTGGCTTATTATCATTAAGTTGTGTCAAATTAAGATCTATATTGTAAAAATATTTCAAGAAACAAAGCACTTATATTTTTCATTTATTTCAAATTTATATAAAATCGGGCTGATCGGAAAAATTATTTATATATTGGGTAGGACTTTTCGAAACAAATTAAAAAAACTCATTCTGGATAGGATATATTTTTAAAAAAAAATGGGCCGAGCTTGGCTTATTATCATTAAGTTGTGTCATATTAAGATCTATATTGTAAAAATATTTCAAGAAACAAAGCACTTATATTTTTCATTTAAAAAATTTTTTATTTCCAATAAAAAAATTTTAAATTTATATAAAATCGGGCTGGGCGGAAAAATTATTTATATATTGGGTCGGACTTTTCGAAACAAATTAAAAAAACTCATTCTGGATAGGATATATTTTTTAAAAAAAATGGGCCGAGCTTGGCTTATTATCATTAAGTTGTGTCAAATTAAGATCTATATTGTAAAAATATTTCAAGAAACAAAGCACTTATATTTTTCATTTATTTCAAATTTATATAAAATCGGGCTGATCGGAAAAATTATTTATATATTGGGTAGGACTTTTCGAAACAAATTAAAAAAACTCATTCTGGATAGGATATATTTTTAAAAAAAAATGGGCCGAGCTTGGCTTATTATCATTAAGTTGTGTCATATTAAGATCTATATTGTAAAAATATTTCAAGAAACAAAGCACTTATATTTTTCATTTAAAAAATTTTTTTTTTCCAATAAAAAAATTTTAAATTTATATAAAATCGGGCTGGGCGGAAAAATTATTTATATATTGGGTCGGACTTTTCGAAACAAATTAAAAAACTCATTCCGGATAGAATATATTTTTTAAAAAAAATGGGCCGAGCTTGGCTTATTATCATTAAGTTGTGTCAAATTAAGATCTATATTGTAAAAATATTTCAAGAAACAAAGCACTAATATTTTTCATTTATTTCAAATTTATATAAAATCGGGCTGATCGGAAAAATTATTTATATATTGGGTCGGACTTTTCGAAACAAATTAAAAAACTCATTCCGGATAGAATATATTTTTTAAAAAAAATGGGCCGAGCTTGGCTTATTATCATTAAGTTGTGTCAAATTAAGATCTATATTGTAAAAATATTTCAAGAAACAAAGCACTAATATTTTCCATTTATTTCAAATTTATATAAAATCGGGCTGATCGGAAAAATTATTTATATATTGGGTCGGACTTTTCGAAACAAATTAAAAAACTCATTCCGGATAGAATATATATTTTAAAAAAAATGGGCCGAGCTTGGCTTATTATCATTAAGTTGTGTCATATTAAGATCTATATTGTAAAAATATTTCAAGAAACAAAGCACTAATATTTTTCATTTATTTCAAATTTATATAAAATCGGGCTGATCGGAAAAATTATTTATATATTGGGTAGGACTTTTCGAAACAAATTTAAAAAACTCATTCAGGATACGACCTATTTCTGTTTAGCCATCCATAATATGATGAAAGATCTCAAATCTGATTTTGATCTAGACCTTAATTTATGGTACCTAGACGATGGCACTCTCTGCGGTAACCAACACCAAATAAGCAAAGCCCTCTTCCACCTCGAAAGAGAATGCCCCAAAATAGGCCTAGAATTAAACAAAACCAAAACAGAAATCTGCATACTCAACCCCGAGATTCCCCTAGATTCATTTAAAGATTACAATATTATCGAAATCGACGATATCCAACTCTTGGGCTCCCCACTACTAAATAATAAAATCTCGGAAAAAACTATCGATAAAATCTTCTTCGAGTTGCAAAACTTGGAAAAGTTCATCAATCATATCCCATCGCACCAACTTTTTTATCTATTAAAAAAGTGCCTATATTTACCTAAAATCTCACACCTCTTCCACTCATCCTCCTCATTTACCTCCTCAGAATTTTTCACCAAGCATAATATTCTAAAGACCTTAATGGAAAGGATCCTTAATCTTCCACTATCAGACTTTAATTGGCACCTTGCTCAATTACCCGCTAAACTAGGCGGTATCGACCTAATCCCCTTAGAATTACTCTCCCTATCTCTTTTTATCTCTAATCGCCTTTCGCTCAATTCCGCGATCTCATCTTTTATAACTCCCAATGACGATCTCTTAACAGTAGCAATCGAAAAATGGAATCTACTAACCCCAGACGGTCAAACATTCCCAACCGAAATTTCTAATAAATCAATCTTGGAACCCCTTATAAAGAAACTTCAAAATAATCTTAACCCCTCCGATATTAGCGATATTCAACTACTTCAATTAAACGATAAATATGGCGGATATGAATGGCTCGAGGCACTTCCTAGCCTAACCCTTGATAATCTCTTAACCAATGACCAACTGAGAGTTACCATAGGATTCAGACTAGGATGCTCGCTAACACATTCACACACTTGCCACCTTTGCAACCTACCCGTACAACCAAACGCAAGACACGGCCTAAACTGCTCCCGTAGCCAGGGTCGCCACCTCCGGCATAAAGCAATAAATAAAATCATCCATAATGCTCTCAATAAAGCTAAAATTCCTAACATTCTAGAACCTACAAACCTCTCTCTACAAGATGGCCTCAGACCTGACGATCTAACCTGCATCCCTTGGCCAAATGGGAAATCCCTAATCTGGGACGCTACCTGTGTCTCTTCCTTTCCCTCATCAATTAATTCAAATCCTCTTACTAATGGCGAAAATAAAAAAATCAATAAATACTCAATATTAAATAATTTTATTTTTCAACCCATAGTCATCTCAACTAATGGTAATTTCTCCCAATCAACATATTCTTTTTTAAAAATTTTACTAAAATTTTTAACATAACAAACGAAAAACGCGAGTCAACCTTCCTAAAACAAAAAATACAATTAGAAATTTTTAAACATAATTATACATGTTTTTTAGGTACTTTTTTACTATAAGCTCTTTTTAGAGCCATCGATATTTTAAAATTTACACTCATTTTTAATATATGACTTGTTATATTAGATATATTTTATTATTGTAATTTAAAAATTATGTCATTTCAATCTGTTTATTGAAAATATTCTGGATAGGATATATTTTAAAAAAAATGGGCCGAGCTTGGCTTATTATCATTAAGTTGTGTCATATTAAGATCTATATTGTAAAAATATTTCAAGAAACAAAGCACTAATATTTTTCATTTAAAAAATTTTTTTTTTCCAATAAAAAAATTTAAAATTTATATAAAATCGGGCTGGGCGGAAAAATTATTTATATATTGGGTCGGACTTTTTGAAACAAATTAAAAAACTCATTCCGGATAGAATATATTTTTTAAAATAAATGGGCCGAGCTTGGCTTATTATCATTAAGTTGTGCCATATTAAGATCTATATTGTAAAAATATTTCAAGAAACAAAAAGCACTAATATTTTTCATTTAAAAAATTTTTTTTTTCCAATAAAAAAATTTAAAATTTATATAAAATCGGGCTGGGCGGAAAAATTATTTATATATTGGGTCGGACTTTTCGAAACAAATTAAAAATCTCATTTCGGATAGGATATATTTCAAAAAAAAAATGGGCCGAGCTTGGCTTATTATCATTAAGTTGTGTCAAATTAAGATCTATATTGTAAAAATATTTCAAGAAACAAAAAAGCACTAATATTTTTCATTTATTTCAAATTTATATAAAATCGGGCTGGGCGGAAAGATTATTTATATTTCGGGTCGGACTTTTCGAAACATTAAACAACTCATTCCGGATAGGATATATTTTAAAAAAAATGGGCCGAGCTTGGCTTATTATCATTAAGTTGTGTCAAATTGAGATCTATATTGTAAAAATATTTCAAGAAACAAAGCACTAATATTTTTCAATTTAAAAAATTTTTTTTTCCAATAAAAAAATTTAAATTTATATAAAATAGGACTGGGCGGAAAAACTATTTATATATTGGGCCAGACTTTTGGAAACAAATTAAAAAACTCATTCCGGATAGGATATATTTTTAAAAAAATGAGCCGAGCTTGGTTTATTATCATTAAGTTGTGTCAAATTGAGATCTATATTGTAAAAATATTTCAAGAAACAAAGCACTAATATTTTTAAATTTAAAAAATTTTTTTTTCCAATAAAAAATTTTAAATTTTTATATAATCGGGCTGGGCGGAGAAATTATTTATATCGGACTTTTCGAAACAAATTAAAAAACTCGTTCCGGATAGGATAAATTTTAAAAAACTTTCAGGCCTGTTTTAAAATTAGACCAGTAACATCACTATTTGTCTTATATTTAAACCAAAAAAATAATCTGGATTCTGCAGTGTCAAAGTTTTACAAATTAACCAAAAATAATAAAAATTAATTATTATATTAGGAATTAAATAGAAATAAATGAGCCATCATTAAAATAAAGAAACCATTGAACAAGGAAAAATTAAACCTTTTTATCTAGCGACAAAAACTAAAACTGATATTTATATTTCTCAAAATTTAAGAATAAATTAAATTCACTAATCGGATGCTGAGCCAATTAGCATATTGCCATAAATCTAAATTAAATTGAATTGCTAGTTGATTTAATAAAATAATATGCAGATTCAAATTTACTTAATGAAAT